CGGGTACCCATTCCCACCTGGGTGAAGTGAGGAAAATTCGTGTAAAGTGCCTTTCCCAAGGACACAACGTCGGGTCCCTGACGGGATTCGAACCCACGACCTTACGGTTGCGAGTCCGAGAGCCTAACCACTAGGCCACCAACGCCAATAGTAACAGAAAGTAGAACAGCATTATTGCATCTACAACAACAACAGCGTCCATAGCAAGAACAACAACAGAAGATTCACTTCCGAAATGAACAGCAGCACCATCAGCAACAACAGTAGCAGCAACATTTACACAATAGCATCGACGAAAACAATACAAAAAGTAACTGCGCAACCATATTTACAGCAGCAGCAACAGCAGCAGCAGCAGCAGTAACAGCAGCACCAACAACGACAACAAAAGCAATAACAACAACAACAACAACAACAACAACAACACAACAACAACAACGGTGAGAAATCCATCATCATCTGATTGACCTACATTACAAGCGAGTGGTTAGACCAAAACAAACATAATAAATCATAATATGTAAGCAGACATCGCCACAACCAAGCTCATATTCCCTTTCCATATGATTGTTATTGATTATTGAAGAGACTCAAATGCTTTAATTTTGTCTGTTCTTTTCTGGAGAAAAAGTCTCCCTCCTTTTAATTTTGCCTGTTCTTTTCAAGAGAAAAAGTCTCCCTCCCACGCCCCTGCTTTACCCGTAATGACAAATACGAAATAGAATATTTCGCACAAAGATAAGAAATGTCATTGTGAGGCCACAGAGGGAAGCCTTTCAGACCGAATGAAAAATGCCGTTCGACAATAGAAGAAGACAAAAGAAATAGCAGCCTATAATATAATAACAACAACAGGACAACAACTTAGCAGATGAGAGCGGAAATCTGGAAATGGAAATGATGGCCGAAAGTCGAAGGGCACAAAGACATGTTATTAGAAAGTTTCTATTTACCAATTCTTTTGTTAGAGTCGGGAAGAGAAAAAAATCCCTTGTTTTATTTTTTAATTTGTTTTGTTTTGTTTTGCACTTGTTTTGGGGGGTTTTTTTCACCACTGTTTACTTTAAAACAGTTTTTTGTACGATAGTAAATTGGATTTGCCGATTGATGTAGTTTTATCAATTCGAATAAGTAATGTCAGAGTACAAAAGAAAAAGTTATGAAAAGAAAATATCGAGATTTTTAAAAAAAATCAGTTACAATCTTGTTTTATCATTGATTTGGTTTTTGTGAAACAGAATTAGATTGTACATCTTATAATAATATCCCAATGAAGTCCTTAGTGTACTGTAAGTGAAATGCCATCTGTCACTCCCCTTTTCATTGTTTATGCTCACTCTTGTATCAATTCATTTGCATATTTGCTTTTTTATGAGTGTGTGTGCGTGTGTGTGTATGTGTGTGTGTGTGTGAGAGAGAGAGAGAGAGAGAGAGAGAGAGAGAGAGAGAGAGAGAGAGAGAGAGAGAGAGAGAGAAGTAATGAATGCATGCATACACAAAATGTGTCCCAAACCCCTGCTGCAATGTGTGGTTATCCGAAAATGGCGGGCGAAAACACCCACACCAAGATCCCGCCCACAAGCACAAAGCCCAGAGCCATCATGGCGCCCAGCTGCATTATCTGCTTCCGCGACAGCTTCTTCCTCACCAAGGTGAAGGGCAGGACCACCAAAGCCTTTGGCAGCATTTTCAGACGCTGTTCCAGAGTGACCTCGTGCGCCAAGGTGGACTTGTAAGACGGCGGCACCCCTTCTTCGTAGCACACTTCAAGGATGGTTGGCTCTGCAAAGCTCACTTTTGTCTTCCGGACTTCCACCAGGGGGCAGCTGGCATTAGAGTTTTCATCACTGAATGAAAAAAAAAGACTAAAGAGAGTTAGTCTTCGTTTTAGTAGAGGTTTTACGGCGCTCGCAACTGCATAAGGTCATATGAGTGCCACAAGATTAGAGGTGTTACAAGAGAGTAACAAACATAAAAAGAAGGGGAGATAAGGACGATAGATGTTTGATAGGAAAGAAGAAGCAAATCACACCAGAGCACCCGTCAACCACCCACCGGGCAGTTTGAGTTTTGTAATTTCGTAAAGTGAAGCACATGAATACTTTGTTTTGTTCTCGTTAGAGTTTCACGGCACTTGCAACACAATTGGATCATGTAACTAAGTGCCGAAGATTAGTTTTAGTTTTAGTAAGAGTTTTACGGCATTAGCAACACAATAATGTCATATATAAGTGCCGAAGATTAGAGATGTTACAAGAGAGTAACAAACATAAAAAAGAAGGAGGAGAGATCAGGACGACAGATTTTAGATAGGAAAGAAGGAGCAAACCACACTAGAGCACCCGCCAACCACCCACGCTGAAGATTATGGGAGTCACAAGAGTGACAAACACAGAAAAAGAGGAAAGATAAAGGCGATGTTTGAAAGAAGGAGCAAACCACACCAGAGCACCCGCTAACCACGAACAATGATAACCTTTAGGTAACGGGGAGGAAAAAGCAAGCTACACAGACAAAATCTGAAGAGGAATAGAAGGAGCACCCTCTGTCCGAGTAAGCATACAGGCAGTGTAATTAGAAACGTTGGCAGCTAGGTAAACACACACACACACACACACACACACACACACACACACACACACACACACACACACACACATATATATATATGAGACAAAAAACTGATTTACTCGTGAACAAAATGATCTATATGAACCAAAGTTGGTACAGATAAATGAAAACACCTTAGAAACGTGGTTAGTGCAAAACCCCCCCCCCCCCCCCCATAAAAACAAACACTTTTCTACTGTTTAAATGGTTACACTGTGGGATGCAAGGTTTCATTACAACATTTTTGTCGTGATGAAACCTCGTAGTCAGCCGGCGGGAGGGTTGCGAGGTTTCATCAGGACCGAGTTTGAGGGTTGCGAGTTTTCTCGCAGCCTATTGGGTTGTAGTATGCCTTGTTTTGAACACCACAAAGTGATAAAAATATTTTTTCAAGACAAATTATTATTAGTTTATAGTTAGATTCCCGGCCCACTGAACATGAAGTCAAATAATTGTGTGTTACCTGCAGAATTTGGGTTTGAATCCTCAAACGGATTAGCGATCTGTGCAATCTGTTTCAATATAATTTGCCAGGATTAGATCTGGTTACTTCAATTTTACAAAAAAAAGTACAAAAGAATAGCATATCTGCAATATGGTCTCTGGTTGTACTGTAAATGGTTTTCAGAATGGTAAGAAATAGATCTAGATAAAAATATAGACATGTTTTTCGAAGTTTTAATGCGTCAGTCCATTACAAAATTTATTTTAAAAAACAATGTAACACACACACACACACACACACACACACACACACACACACACACACACACACACACACACACACACACACACACACACATGTTCATGTCTGGGGTGTACTTCAAATAACTGATGTCGGTGACAACAGGATGACCCGTTTTTCTACCTGGTCTGATAGACTTGTAGCTTCCACACTTAGAATAATCCTTGAAGAATGTGTGATCCAAATATAATTTGTTTTGATAAGTTTTTGGTTTTGCTCTTGTCATCCTGGGAAATGGAGGTAGTCCAGGGTGACCTCGATACGTGCTCTTCGAACTGATTTCACAATAGTTGAGTGCACAGTCAACTTCCAGTTGTGCGTCCTTTGATCAACTGTTTCTGTTCAATTGTGCAACCATGTGTTGTTGCAAACAGACAGAGAGAAACATTGGCAAGTGTGGCATTTCTGTATTGGTAACTACAACCGTCGCTGTCGATGATGTTTTTTTCTGAAAGTCCAGCTTTTCCTTCAGGAAATCCATTAGACATGAAGCAAACTCATTTGGCATAAGTCCCCCTTCTACTTCTATTGCTTCATGCCCCACGTAATAAGTAGTCTGGTGTGTTGCAGCATCATATAGCGTAAAGTTATGAACGACAAGCTTTGTTTTGTAATATAGGGCTGATGCATTCAGTTTGGGTGTAAGAAGTGCGGACTGAAGATCCATAGAAAACAAGCGCCGTTTAAGGTTAATCACTGGCGAGATATTTGATGGCTTCAGATTTGTCTCGTTCCTTTTCCTTGCGCATTGTCCCTTTTCAAGAATGTGCGCATTCCAAACATCCTCGCGCGTTGCCAACTTCACGGATAATGCTAAGGTCGCACATAGATCTATCTTTCTTTGGCATGAACAAAGACACGCTATTCTGCCTGATTGTTTCATTGAGGGGGGCGGGGTCTGTTGAGAGGCTACCTCCTGTGGCCTTGGCAGAATTGTGCATATATTTTGAAGATATCTGAGTTCCTTTGATAATTGGTTCAAAATGTTTCTTACAAATCATTCACTCAACCCAGTTGAATGCAGGGACATCTTTTTACACACTGGCACCTTATGACCACCTTTTTAAATGTGTATTTGAAGGTATGCCCTGTCTGGTTAGTTTCTGAATACCTCCTCTGAGGTTGGTCTATGTCCACTAGTCCAATAAAGAGACGTATTTTTTTCATCCCATGAGGAGACCACACTAAATCAAAATTAGAATGTCTGTCTTCCCCGAGAGCCCTTTACATTCCAGAGTTCAGCTCTTGCAATCACAGTTTGGTTTCAGTGACGTAGCTGGGCTTTTCATTAAATCATTATGTATTCCTGTCTAGATCCACGGATGGCCTTTGTCTTATTTGCTGCTACTCCTGAAAACCCTTTCTTTTCTTCTGTGGA